AAAAAAAAAATCTTCCTATGAACACACGATGCAGCCATTTTGGGAGAATTCTTCGCATGTGTCACATCATTGAACAAAACATCATGTTCAAGGAAGTGAGTGTGTGTTTTGGCGTGGGCTCATTGGCTGGCTCGCGTTGCAGTGGCTCACGCTTTATTAGTTGAAGTGAATCACTTGTTTGATCAGTCTTATCAATGTAAATCAACAGAGTGGTGAGGATCATAACGCTCCTGAAATTGACACCGAGATGGAATTTATCATGAGGTGTGCCAAAAGTGTGGTCGTTTCTTTTCAAGAAGTCCGACAATGTGTTGGACTCAAAATGCACCCAGGGGCAAGAATGAGGAGGGCCGCGACAGAATTTGACATGACATTGGTACATATTAATAGATTTGGTTGGTATTAGATGCCCGATAAGTGTGTAGCCTCAGAATGACTCTGTAACACCTCAAGCGCTTGCGCAATTTCGAGGGGTAAGTCGTAGAGGATGTTGGCTTTCCACGTCGCTATCTGACTTAAAATATGGTGTACAAAAAAAACACTCCATGGCTTAAGGGCCCGTATTTCTGATCTGATATGATTTGGTAATGACTGTCCTAGACATTAAAAGCCTCATTTTATCCCTAACTTTTGTGAGTTGTGTATTTTTAGACCGAGGAGTTAAAAAAAGAAAATGGTGCGCAAAGACTCCAACGTTTGAATCCCAAACCAGTTTGTGTGTTCATATTTGCACGTTCCAAAAGTGGAAAATGAAAACCCTCACCCAGATCTGCAGTTTGATCCTTTTGTCATTGCGGAAGACGGTCTTGACTTTGAAGTCAATGCCCACGGTGCTGACGAAGGCTGAGGTGAAGGAGTCGTCTGCGTAGCGGAAGAGGAAAGACGTTTTCCCCACGCTGCTGTTGCCGATGATCAGCAGTTTGAACATGTAGTCAAAGTTCTGGTCAGCCGCATCCTTCTGGGACGGCAGCTGTTGGAGGCGCGAGTCACTTGACGCCATCTAGAGAGGGACCAGAGG